ATTAATATTAATGAATTAAGTTTTTCTTAGAAAACATTAACCATTAATATTAATGGTTAATGAGAAACATTAACATTAATATAAAATTAATGTTAATGGCCCACCCCTAATGGCCAGCGGTCATTTAGTTGATCAATCAAAGAGCGAGAAGCTCCATTAAAATGTTGTAATTCAACATGATTATTATTAGTTGTCCATAGTGACCAATTAGTATCGGGTTTTTCATCAATATCATCAGGGTTAGCCATAAACAGGCTAGATACACTGGTATTGCAGCAGTTATCACACTGGCAGTTGTAGCAATTTTCAAAAGGGTTCGTACAAACTGTTTTATCGACCAACTCACTTGCACTTAATCGATACTGCAAAGTTCTACTTACAGCCTTAAATACGAAAACAAGAAATTTATTGATTCTGTTTAACCTTGTATTTACTCACTGTTAATAAAAGTTCGACATTTTGGTGTTGAATACACATACAAACCTGATGAGGTGTATCTTCTCGCACCCAACTTGGTCGTAAAGAATGAAATTTTGAGCGGCTGACTTTTAAATTAGGATATCTGCTTTTAAATAGTTCATATGTTTCACCAATAGACATCGTCATATATCGGATAACAACTGTGCCGATACTTTTGGGTTTTCGAGTATCTTTAGTATAGGACGACTGACGACTGATTTCATCATCGAGATAAAACTCTTGAATGAATTTAGCTGTCTTGAAATCAAATAATTTGTTGCCGCGACCATCCACTCGTTTTGATAAATCACTATCTCATGTCCTTTGTAAAATCACAGAACGAGCTTGATGGGATGTACCACTAAAAAACTTTTCAATTTTTTTCCATCCCCACTCGATTGGAGCTGTTTGCATAAGCAATACCTGCTCATCATAATTGCTTTTATTAAACAGACGACGGAACCGATAGATAAAATCTTCAAGTTCAGAAATCGACAAACCAAGCAATGAAAGTTTTTCTGTTGTTATAATTTCCTTTGGTTTAGCAGTCAGATGGCTAAGCCGATCTTGGAGGATCAAATAAATTTCATCGATTTTCTCCTCTGTCTGAACAGTATTTCGTCTGTAATAAAAAAAGGATCAGAAAACAACTAATTAAAACAATATACTAATTCAGAATTACGGAATGACTGATCCAAGTTGAAACAACTCGAATACTTGATTGAGCTTTTCTATGGCATAATCTCGCTTAACGTCTATAAGCTCTGATACATCTTTCATATCTTTGTCGCCATCATCGTCAGAACTTTCATACATAAGAATTTCCTGATTATCCGTATATATCCCTTCATGTTCAGCTAATTCAAAGCCACTAACTTCTTTCTCATAACATTTCGTACATAACGAATGATTTTCACTCCACATCATCGATGGATCCTTCAATATGCTCAAGCATGTTCCGTTAATATTTTTCAGAAGAGCTGAATTCATTCGCCGAGATCCTAAAGGATAGTTAGGTCTCTGTCCGATTTTCGTCAAATGCTTCTTTCCATCAGGTGATGTTTCCAAATGGCACGGATGTGCACACCAATTGCGTTTTGATGTTGGCATTATCCAACCACAAATCATGAATGAAAAAATGGGAAAAATGCTTTTACATTTAATTTTTTAAGTACGCAATTAAATACCACTGGATGAATTTCATCCAAATCAAAACTTTCCAAGGAGTGTCGCCAAAATACATCTCTCAATTTCGATATCACTCTATACACTAAGACCATACTTGTTTCACAAATCTATAAACTGACTATCACTACAAAACAACGTAACACCATCAATTACTTTTCATGAAGTCATGCATTCTTCATGAAACGATAGTAATAAGATATTTTTAAACTTAAAATCGGATTAAAAATATCTAGGATCTATATATCTCATGTACTTATTCTGCTTCGTTTGTTCATAAATAATAAAAGAAAATTTAAAGAAAAAAACCGATTAAATGATAATTTCTTTATTTTTTCGACTAAAATTCATTTTTTCTTTATATTAAATCATTGTCTAATGATTGAAAATCAAATGGCTTCAATAGAAGAAAATAAACATTGAAACTATGTTATAGATTTATTATTAAAACTTATTACATTATTAGAAGCTAAACATGTTTAAGGTGATAGAGGGTCTAAAAGAAGTTGTAGTTGATCATACGTGTTAAGTGGAATTTGTGTTTCCGCACGTAGTATACGCATTTGCCAATATAAATTGATATTTGCTTGCGTTTTTCTTGTTATTATATCTCGTGTAAGTTCTGGATTCAGTGTATGAATTTGTCCTTTTTTCCAATCTTGACATAGTTCAGCATTGAAACGTGCTGCAGCAAGAATACGAATCAAACGAACATCATTATTTGATGTATATTTATTGACTAATTCATTGAAAAGTTGTGTACTATGATCACATCGTTCTTCTAACGATAATACTGAACTAGTAAATATACTCATTGCTAAACAAAATTCACTTTCAATTTCGGTTCGAAGATCATCGGTTGTTCGTGTTCGAAAAAAATTTAAAATTTCTTTTAATTCATCAATGGAATCTATAACGGATGGATAACGAAGAAGGCAGATTGCAAGATGAATACGTGCTTGAAATTGATCAAATACAGCTGCGTGTTTGTCAGAATATTCTATTGAACGACGAAATTGTTCTGCAGCACATTTTATGTGTTTGATTTCAAATGGTAAACTCCAATCTGCAAGTCTCATTTGCATCGAACCGAGTACATTTAAACTAGCAACAAGTCCTCTCATATGGCCAAGTTCTTCGCGAATTTCAATAGCTTCTTTCATGACAAGAATAGCATCATCGATTTCTTCGATATTTGTTGCTAATTGATATTTATTCAATGCCGATTCATGAAGATTCATTCCTTTTGTATGTAATAAACCAATTTTTGGTATTAATTCAATCCATTGTTTAGCCACATCAGATGGCTCAGGAGAAGAAGGTAAATAACGTCTCAATTGTGCCAATAAAATAGCTGCTTCAAGTGCAACATTTCGTTCTTCTCCAACGCATTTCTCATTAGGCTTTCCGCATTGATTTAATAATTGTTGCAGTTCTACAATAGCTATAGATTGTCCATCTTTTTCAACAAATCTTTTTACTTTTGCACTAATGAATTTTGCTCTTCGATTTGCCCATGAACTCAGCGACAGTGGTGCAGCTTCAGCTGCATCAATAGCATCATTCATCGCTTGAATACGCGCATTTCTATTACCGATTTCAATTGCAGCTTCAGCAGCTGCTAATCTAGCTATACAATATTCGCGAGTACCTTCAATTGATGTACTAGTTGCATAATCAAAATAATGTTTTGCTTCGGAAAAATACGACAAATGAGAAAGTATGGCACCACTGACAATATAACTTTGCCATTGAGTCGGCAATGAACTTGAATATTCTGTATTTGAATCAATATTTTCAGTGATTTCTTCTTTGAAATTAGGACTTAAATGAGTGATTTGAGCTAAGAAACTAACTGAATCAGCTATTGTTACAACTGTCAGGCGATCAGCAATGCCCCGCTCATGCCAAATCGAAGCTATTGTAATGAGACCTCGATCGAATGAAGCCATGTTACTTGGTATACCCTTTGCTATATCGATTCCGCTCCAAATTATAGGTTCAAATGAATCATCCATATGCTGAATCCAAAGTACATTCAATGGTAATTTAACAGATTTTAACCAACGTATAACATCAAAATCATCGGTAGCTGAATAATCTATAATTATAAATGGTTGTGTTTCTAACAGATGATGTAAAAAATAACGACGTTCATTAGATTCTCGTGTCGATGAGAATCGTTTCAGAGTTGCTATTGGACCACCGTTTTGATCAGCACGTACGAGCACTCTTTTTTCATTCTGCCATATTGCGACACTGCCATGAAGTTTCCATAGACCAGTTAAATTCGATGATGTGTTACTTTGAATTGAATCAAAGGCATTCTTGAAATGTTCTTCAGTACAAAATACATCAAATGGTATTCTATTTGGATCGTCTCCTAGATGCAAACGTGCAGCATCTTCAATTAAGTGATCGAAATTTGTTGTTATTACTGTACATTTCATTGCTAACATGGCGAGTATATCATGAGATCGGTCAATCACTGGTGTATCAGTCATTAGCACATCTAGTAGAGATAGATTAGGATCAATGTATTGTTGAATTACATCAAAAACTGTTTCAAGTCGAAGACGAGGTGGTCCTTGAGAAAAATGTGGTTCGATAATAGCCCATGCTGATTTTTCATCGGCAGGGACAGAAATATTTGTATAACGTCTAACAAGATTTTGAAGGCCAATTGTGGCTAATCCTGATGCTGAACCTGACAGTACTGTCAATTGATTGGAATAAAATGGAGATAAAATATATTTATCTTCCATAGGCCAACTATATGTTAATGATGGGCATGATTTAAAATACGGTTGATATTGTAGTTGTGTTAGATTATTTTCTGAAAGACTTTTCAAGTTTGTCTTGAATATTTGTTTTGCGGAAACAGTTGTCGACTGTATCGATACATCTATGGTATCAATTCGATTGCACCAATTTGATTTTTCATTTACTCTTTTAATCTGGTTCTCTTGTTGTTTAACTAGAACTAATAAAAGTACTCAATGAGAAATGCTTTCAAAAAGTAGTTTTCTTCTCCCACTGTCTAAACATGTTTTATTTTATACTAAGATTTTACATTATTAGGAGAAATATATTATTGTCTTACAACTATTTTCAAATTCTCAGACGATTTCCACAATGAATATTTAACTATGTTGAAAATAATTTTTAGCTCTTATTATTCACCGTTATCTTCATTATCAGGATAGTTTGTCTGTGTCCACCAAACATTTCTTCTGAATGAATGAAATTGTTCTTCTTTTGATCTATTTTCACAAAATATTCGTTTAACCGATTTCGTTTTAGTTGAATCTAATTTATTGATTTGTAGAAAATGTTTAAAATAAATTATATCGTTATTCAATTCAACATGATCTCGCTGTTTTTGATAGGCATCTTCAATAATAGTTATTTCGACGTCAGAGAATTTTTGCCAGTCTTCCCGAATATTAGATATAGCACAATTAATAGACGATCTCCAAAACCATTGATATTTATTTGGCATGATATCAAGGTTCAATCTAAAACATTAATACTATTTTCTCATAAAAAAAACTGATACTACTACTAATTACAATCGGCAATAAAATTTCATGTAATCACAAGAAAAATTTCGATGAAATGTAATTATAACACGCAATATAAATGTCGCACTCCATTGGCTCATTTTATAATTCACCGGAATTTCGATCAAAAATATTTTCGTGGTTTTTTCCAACTTGCGGGTTATGGTTAATAGTATAATGAAATAAACACGATGTTGATTAGTTTCATAAATAGGTTAATATTACATGCGTTCTGTCATTGGTACAGGAAAAAAGAAAAAAAAGGAGCGTTTTTCCAACAATGTCAACAAGACGAGTCCAATTTAGATTTGATGTTCTTCCGTTTCGTGCGGATTGACATCCGAACGCTTGATCCATAGGATATCCTATATTTATACTGTAGTAGAATCTAACATTAATGAAAACAAACAAGAAAACGAATGGGTAAGTTGTTCTGATTACTTTGGTTCATATTAGTGTGGATCATCATAATTGTAAACACTCATATATTAATCCATTTTGGCGAAAAGAAAAAATGACCCGTATCAAGTAAATCTATTACTATAGTGCACGAGCATTTGAAGTGTTTAAAGAATGCCATAAACTATTTCAGTGAAAATCTGCCATTTATGATTTAATAATCGTTTAGTTATTATTTTCGAACTTCTCATAAAAACGTCAATATCACGTATACGACAGTCGTAAATTCTTCTCTTTCTAAGAAATCCTAGTCTGTCCAAATAGATTTATTCGTGGAGAATCTGCTATAGATTATATGAACTGATGAGAGGCTTCTTGAGCCTACAAAAATATACCTTGTGTATAAATATACGGCTTTTATGGTGATTGTAGAATCATGCAATGCATTTTTATTTTATCCTATCAATAACATTATTTACCATCGCTGTTTAACAATTTATTAGAAGGTTAATTTATAAGTTTTCATATTACAACTTTGTTTTACAGCTCGAACTATATGCTCCTAGCACGTTCATTAAATCGGTGAAATGTTGAAAATAATATACAATTAAAAATCATTACACAATAATCAATTCTTCGTGTAAGTTACTTGGTTGATATTTTAAAAAACGATCCGTGTTCATTAACATTATTTTGTGATAGATAGTGGTCGACAGTTTGCAATTAGAATAGAGATTGCATGTAAAACTATCGAAACAAAAAGTAATACTAACATGAAAAATGATCGATCAATGTTTTAGAGACTTTTGATAAGTGAAAAACACGAGTAATTATATGCTGTAATGTTAACATTCTAGAAAAGATCGAAAATAAGTGATGAGAAAAAAATGATAATATTTTACGCTTATTGAATTTGAAACTATATTCCTTTGCAATTAGCAAAACCTTTCCTTTAGCTGAATTTATAAATGAAATAATTGGAGATTTTTCTTCAGTTAAATCTAATGAAGATGCTAAAACTGCAACTATGAAAGTAGATTTTTAGTTGTATAGAAGTTCTTTTTTCGACTCGTTTAGCTAATCTTTATCATTACCATTACTACTAGCTTTAAACCTAGAATAATAGAATCAAAAGTCAAGCAAAAATACTTCGATATTTGTCCTTCGACATTTTTTCTACGCATCCTTCATGATAATAATCAAGCAATAGGTATGATGGAAAAAGGAAGAAAGGAAAAATATCGACAGGGAAAAATGTCGAAAATAAAAATATTGAAAACAAAATTAATACACATGCAGATGGATAGAAATGCTGAAAACGAGAGTATATTGAAGTACCAGTCTCCGTCACCCTCAATTCAATCTTACATGCTCATGTTCATCTCGTATTCTTGTTTTCGACATTTTTCCTTTCTTCCTTTTTCCATCCATTCGTGAAGAAAAGTGCTACAAAATGAATAAAATAGGAGAATCTCTTTCTAATTATCAATAGCAGCCAGATCTTGTTTGGTATTTTAACCCTGAGAGGATGACGGTAATGTCATTATTTTTGTATTCACATCTTACAGAATGCGATGAGGAAAATTCGCGATGAAAATTGCTATTAATACATTTGATATCTAAATTCAAAATAATTTTTGCAATACCTTTGCTCAGAGGATTATAACATTATTTTCTTTTAGAAAGTAAAACCTTTAATTCAATTCGGTGGCCAAAGAATCGATATAAATCTTCAAAACGTCTTTACAGATGTCTCTCTTAAATTGTAAGTAAAATATCAAAACGGTGATGTCGATTGCATATCTCTGGTTATGGAAGTGTAATCCAAATCCTTGGGAAAAGAACAATGAAGAAATATGGGAAAGATATACAGACATTGAAATGACTATCATTGAAACAGCATTTCAAAAAGGTTGTTTAAGTGTGGAATTAGATAACTTTATAATTGATTTTGAACAATTAATACAAATTAATAAAAAGGATTCAACAAAACAGAGACCTATTCAACGAATATCTGATAAAAAGCTTCAATGTTCAAGAGAAGAACGATTTACTTTGTCTGATCACAGTGGGACAAATAGACAACAGAAATCGTTTGGAGATGAAGCTAAATTCATGACACCAAAATTCATTGAAGAATGGATTAGAAGAAATCCACGTATTTCTATAGTTAAACGTGTCGAAAAAGCAGCGCAAGGTATCCTGGAGGAAGGTCGAATACTTGAAAAAATTGTCGAGAGTAAGTGGTTAGCAGAACAATTGTTAGAAGTTAAAGACAAGTCATGGGATGAAATTGCTGAACGTTGCTTATATTTATATACAAGAGAATGTTTTCTTTATAAATTATTAAACAAAGCATTGAGAGAAGAAGATCTATCGAAAGTTGACACGTTAGGACCTTACTGTGATTTCCTATGGAATAGTCTTTCATCAGAAGACTTGAAATCGAAATATCAATTTACAGGTTTAGTTTATCGCAGCGCAACATTGGAACAGAATGAAATCGATGCTTACAAAAATTCGATTAGAAAAACTAAAGAATGGCTTGGATTTTCGTCAACAAGTAAAAATCGTGCTCTAACAGAATTCTATGGTAAAAATACAATTTTTATAATTAATTTGCCATCACAAACACAACATTTAGATATATCTACAATATCACAGTTTCCCGACGAAGAAGAAGTTTTATTGGGAGCTTCAACAAGTTTTCAAATTGAAGACGTTCAATATGATGAGAAAACAGAAAAAAATCAAATTTATCTAAGAATTTTATGGTAGAATTCATCTAAGAACAAAATTATTTTTCGTTTAAATTAGAAAATAATTATAATTTAAATGTTATCAATACGATGCAATAGAAATAGAAATGCAAGTTTTTTTTGTTTGATAACATGAATACGACTATGATGGGTGGTACCCAGATGAAATCTATGTTTTTGATATTAAACATAATTGTTACAGACAATGAATTTTGTTATTAGAACTCAATTCACAATGTATAAATATGAACTAAATTCAAACCAAAACATTTTTTTAATAAAAAGCAATTGTTTAAAGCTGAAAGCCGCTATGGCTGGATGGTTAAGATGTTCGGCACATATCCACAAGATAGTGCGTTCAAACCTCGGCGCCATCATCCATAGAATAACCTTGGATAAGTTACTAACGGCT